TGTCATTCTCAATAGATCAATGACTTTCACAATCAGGACGAAACCGGGTGTTTTAGGTCGAGAACCTATGTTTCGATGTGACATCTTGTTCAATGCAGAAGTTGAAACATCTTATAATTCTTGATTCGATATTAACACAAGGTCTTTCTATTTGGGAGAAGTAAATTCTTGTTTCATGTGACACATTGTATTCTTTCAATGATAACAGAATCACATTAAAATGAAGTTGATGGAATGGAGAACTTGAAATTTCACATTGAATTTGTTGCAGTATGATCGGGAAGTTTGTTCCATATTCATTACGATTCAAATACATCAGAAACATTCTCATATATCCATCAGACAAGCCTGAAATTCGTGAATTTTCAGGGTATCAAAATGAAATTTGATGTGGGTATATGTTATGTGGAGAAATACGTTCCCCAATGTTCTTCACTTCCTGATCACTATCGGTTCCACTGGAAAAGACTTTGGTTTCGAATTTTCAAATGGAACACGGTGGATGGCCTTTCAAAAGTATCTGGAGAAATAAAAGACAGAACATTCTGAAAATTAGGGTGTTCCGATGATTGAACATTCTCTATCCGTCTAAAATATTATCATCGATACAGTGTTGCCACTTCTATCAGGAACAGTTAGCAACTTTGTTATTTCAAATGGAACACCCTGTATTTCATTGCATTTTCAGATTCTTCCTGGAGAGCTGATTTCATCAATGCATCACACTTGGGGTCTAACAGGAATGATTACAGAGATATGGGTTGTTCAAAATAGAGATTTTTCAATGTTAGGACTTTTTTGTGTAGAAACTATTGAATATCGATCAAAAGGGCCCACATGTCCCCATCTCAACCTTCGATTCACTTTCTACTGACATTTCATTGAAACAGATAGAAGGTGATCAGAATTCTGAATCTTGAAGCACCCTGTATTTTTTCCAATTAAATTCCAGTAGATAGTGAATCGAAAGTTGAGATAGGGACATGAAAGCCGTTTTGATCATCATTGAATAGTTTCGACACGAAACAATCTTAAAATTGAAAAATCTCGATTTTGAACACCCTATATCTCTGCAGTCATTTTTGCTAGACCCCAAGTGTGATACATTTATGGAATCAGCTTCTCAGGAGGAATCTAAAAATGCAATAAAATACACGGTGTTTCATTTGAAATAACAAAGTTGCTAGTTGTTTCTGATAGAAGTGGCTACAGTGTATCGATGAAAATATTTCAGACGGATAGAGAATGTTCAATTATCAAAGGATCTCAATTTTCAGAATGTATTATCTTCTCGTTCTCCAGATACTTCTAATAGGCCATCCACCGTGGATCACCCTGTATATTAGAACGCTTTAGAATTCTTGAGACAACTTCGGATCAGAACAATATATTTCCAGAAGCTGTTACGCCTACTTCATTCTTCAATAGTCACTTTTGATATTGCATCTATGGGAGGCAATGATCGGTTGTACACTCATCTAAGGACCTCAGGAAAATCAAAATCGGCCAGTTCTAGTGACTAATATGATAGATAGGAGGAAGACAAATTGACGAAATCACATTTCCGTGTCAAAATATCTTTTTTCTACTCACATAACCAAAATGGCATTTAGCGTACGGATATGTACCACGCTAAATGATCGATTGATCATGGATTGTCGATCTGTGATTTATTCAAGATATTAAACACGTTACCATGGCAACACGATTTCCTGAACACAATACCAGGGAAACGCAGTTCATTAAACACAGCTTCAGAAATTCAAAACATGTCTGGTCTGTCAATTGTATTAACTGTCAACTGTTATTTTCAAATTTTGTATCAGAAATATTCAAACAATATTCGTTTTTAGAGAAGTAGACAAAAGTGAAATAGAAGAGAATGTTCTGGTACTTGCATATCTCCAAGAAATGTAAAAATAAAGCATTCATCTTTGAGAACAATTTATGTATTCTGCGCTAAGCATGACAATAAACGTGAAACAAAGGTTAGTAAGCAATGGACTGGACACATCTACAACCAATATCACTTATATGTGTCTCACTGGTTGCATGCAGTTGCATGTATTATGTTCTCAATTCCCATTCCTTTCGAATTATTGTGTAGGTTAGCAGGAATTGCAGGTATGTTAATGTAATTTTCGGAGTTCGTAGAAAAATCATAGTATGTAACGCGTTTATAAACTCTTCTAGACACTATACTCGTTACTAAAATGTCGTTTATAACACTTGTTACCTACATAATATACTATTACAATAGCACCTGTCGGAAAACGGTTTTTTTGACGATGTTTATGATACTTATCCATTTGCGTTTGGACTGGAAATATCAACATGAATTCAATGTTACTGAGGAAAATACTAGATGTCTATTCATTGCCATTCGTCAAGTGTGCCATAAATAGCCATGATGCATAATATACCTATTGCCATCATATTTCTCGAGTCATCTTTGGGAAACAAAAGAGTCAGGTAATAACAGTGACATGAGCCTTATGAGCAGGCATTGAAAGTTTCTTAAATTTCGTTGAATTAAGTGAAAATTGTTCTGTTTTTCAATGGAGACCCGAAAAAAATACCTGCAAAATATTATGCATCTTGGCTATCCATCATGCCACACTTAACAATTGTGAATGAATAAATATCCAGTATTTTCCTTGGTCATATTTAATTTATGTTCCTATTTTCGATTCTTGGATGCCATACAGAAATAATAGTTGGACACGGAAATGTTCTTTATTCAACTTGTCTGCTTCCTACCTACTTGTCACGCAAACTTTGCGATCATGATTTCCTTACATCACCTCAGGTCCTTGGATAAATTTACATACGATCATGGCCACTTAGATGCAATTATGAAAGCGACTTTAAAGAAATGAAGTAGGCGTATAAACTCCTGAGAATTTCGTATTCTGATCCAGAAATGTCTCAGGGATTCGAAAATTTGATAATATACAGGGTGTTACGTTTAGAAATCCAAAACCGGAGGTATTTCCGGTGAAACAGGCAATGATCGAGAAGAAAACAATATGCGCAAAAATTTCCCCTTCACATACCATATATATCTCGATACATAACCATATTGGATTCCATTTCAATACACCTATAATTTTGGATTTTATATATTGTCTAATAGTTCCGTTGACACTTGGTAAGAATATTATTTCGAACTATTGCAGATTATGGTTCCACACAGTTTGAATATCCTACTTTGATATGTTTCAGTTGAACTTCCAATTGAAGCTTTCTCTTTCATTTCAAGTGTGAGTATTTTCGGTCGGAGGATAATTTCAAAGAGTACCATAGAACTGTAGAATAGGGTTCTATTCGAAATTGAGAAATGTAGGGTTAGTTTCAACAAAAACTTAGTTCCGATGTTCTCTGATTCTCCCTGAATAATTGATCCTTGGGTGGCTATCAAATCGTGTAAATCCCGATTATTATTATGAATGGAGAATGAAAGAGAATCTTCATTGGGATATATAAACTGCGACACTCGGTATAGGTTGACAACACATTCTCATTCTAGAGAACGGGAAAACAAGTTTCAAATCACGGGATAGCTGATTTACGCTTTAAACGCAGTATACGCTGAAGCATATCATCTTATACCTCTGGTAATTTGATTGGGAGTATTTGAGAGAGGTACAGTTTTATGATGTCAGAGCATTATTATTTGAAGTAGTTTCCTCGCGTAATTGGGAATTGAGGAAACCTAATCACGAATCTGCGATTGAAGGTCTAAAAAAATAACCTCTCATTATAGAAGTTATAAAATGTCTAACAGATTTTTTGACACCCGGTATACATATCTGCTTGAACTATTGAACATCATGCATGGTTCTACAAAAATTCTCATATCCTTCTTTGATTTACCTCACTGGAACTTTCAATTGAAGCTTTCTCTCTTATCTCAACTGTGAGTATTATCGGGGGAGAGAAAAAAAGTACCGCGGAAAACTGTCGAAAAGGGTGCTTTTTGGAACTGAAAAAATCAGGGTTATAAAATTATATCCACTAACTTTGTCAATGAGAATTACTTCTTGGACAATAAAGCATGATTGATTGATTGATTGATTGATTGAAATAAAAGTTAGTTCCGATGTTCTCCGATTTTGCCTGAATAAATGATTCTTGTGTGGCTATCTCATCGTAAAAATTCTCATTATTATTATTATGAATAAAGAATAGATGAGAATGTTCATTGGAATATTTATACTTTGAGACTAGGTATAGGTGGACAGAACATCCTTATTCTAAATGACGGACGCTGAAGCATCTCATCTCATACCACTGGTAATTTACTTGGGCGTATATGGAAGAGGTACGGTTATATTATGATGCCATAGCATATTCGGAGTAGGTTTCTTGCGTAGTGAAGGTAATAATGAAAAAGCCTTTTGCTGTCCCACTGAGTATCCCAGCAAACAAAATAATGTAATATTGACATAAGTGTTACATGACTGACAATACGTGTTATGTTACTATGATATAACGAAATGTACGCCACAAATACTACATGATTATAACGTAACAATTATGTCACAATTTCATATATATTTTATATAATTTCATTGCTATAAATAAGATGTTACGAATATAACAAACTGACATAATTATCACATAACATTCTCAAGATGTTATGTGAGAATGTCAGATACAAATATGACCCCATTTCAATAAAATATTGATGAAACTACTTGACTGATATCTAAAATGAATATCAGAATTTAACAAATAACCTCTTCGCCTCACCAACTCACTTCACAGGCATATGCACATATCTCTCAGTAGGTGATCCAAACTCTACATTCTATAATATCAATACTGATATTACTGATGATAATATATCCGCCATTCATATAACGACTTAATGAATTTCGGATACTCAGTATCAGGTTTCTTTCTGTGTATGTATACCAACTGTTTTTCCAATAACGTTCTCTAACGATTCTCACGATGTCAGCACACTATTTTTATGATTCCTTTTATGTCTTCAGCTGTGTTACGGAGCCAGTTCGCCAGCCCTTTCCGACCGCAATCGTTTCCCGACGCTTTTTCGTACCCATCCCTCCGCCACCGTGCACAACCCCACCAGGATAAAACTCATGAAAAAGTTCGGCTGGTCGAGGGTTGCCATCTTGCAGCAGACAGAAGAAGTCTTCATATCGACCGTGGAGGATTTAGAGCGGAGATGTACGGATGCGGGTGAGAAACTTCATTCCTTTCAACTCATTGATGACAGAATCTGAATGATTTAATCATACGCAAGTGGAATACTATACTTTATAAACAACTATTCGATGTCAAGAGAACTTTGACAGTTCAGAAATATAACTTGTGAAATGAGGGAGGTCATATATTGCGAAATTACTGATAATATAATTGAAGGTCTTCGATTATGAACTCGAGAATTTGTTCACAAGAATTTCAGATCTCAATGAACAGCTTATCATAACTTATTCTGATGATTCTCATTGTGAAAATATGATGAACAATATTATATCATTGTATCTGATTTTTATTAACATCAGGCGTCTATAATCAGGTGTTATATATGCCATCTCAATATGTGAAATAATAGTTATATATGTATTAAGGGAATTATGAGGGCCTTAATTACCGATGGCAAATTTTGCGTCCCGAGGGCTTCTGGCCCGAGGGACAGCAATTGCTAGAGGTTATTAAGGCTCTATAATTCCCGTGATACATAGATAATTTTATTTCTGACTGATTTCATTCATTAGATACCTTCCCGATTGAAAGTTGGACATGTTTTTCCGTATAGTTTCAATGTCATCAGAACGTCAGATGATGATCTTGACTACCGCGAATAGGAGATTCCTTATTGCTACGTTAATGCGAGGTTGTTGCTATGCATTTCTTATTTAATTTCAGCTAGAGGGAATTATAGCATTTATAACATCCCAAGGGAGTTATGACCCTCATTATAGATATCGTAACTATGACGATATGAGCTTATGATGTCACTGTCAGAAATAAATCATATTATTGCATTCTATTCATGAAAACATGAATATCTACGTCGGAATAAAAGGATGAATAAATACTAATTCGATACTGCAATACCTGATGGCTATTATACTATCCTATCAACAATGAAGTTCCATCATTCTGATTGGTCTGTACTTATCGCAAGTCCTATTTCATGGTTACTTATGTTAATCACTGTTGCGAATCGACGTTGAGGAAACTTGGTTGGGAATGAAGAACAATGGATTATCATTTTTTCGTGAATTTGCAGAATGGCAATCAAAGTTTTGCGAATCGTATGAGGGGAGTTTTTTGAATTCGCGTGTATTCCAGAAACAGCGGGTTTGTGCTTTAAGTAGAACGTACACCTACTAATTGAATTGTACAAGACAATAGGATGTCAAATCATTACACCATCTCATTGTCATTATTACTTCATCAACTCGATCAATCACAATGATTTTTAAATACTGTCTGTAGGTAAAAACAATGATTTTTGTCATTAAATGTTGAAAATCGAGTTAGCAATGCATGAATGACTCAATAGTTGTGAAAAGGATAATTAAAGAGTGGAAGTAACAAAGGTGCTAAGTACCAAAAACGAATTTTTGAGATATTTGGAGAAAAAGTTATAAAAACGTCAATTTATGTTTTTTTTTTCGTTTATAAGCATCAAATATCGTATAGGAGGTCAACGAAAAACCAATTCTAACTAACACCGATATCTGTTATGAAACACAGCTGAGAATCAAAATTATTTCTTGAAAAAAAAAATAGAACCGAGGTGCCGAGTGCCACATTTTTTTTATCAAAATGGGGTCAGGAAGTATTGCTGATATGATTTGGAGTTTCTTAATTTTGAAAATGAGGATTTAGGCAATAGTCAAACTGACATTGATCTCAATTATAAAAAAATGACGAAAGAACGAGGTGTCTAATGATTCGAAAAAAAACAATTCACTGATGGCAAATAACCGTTGTCGCTTACCGCTGGCTCCATCTTATTGTTGTTGTTGAAAAGATAATATTATTCATGGCACTTACAGCTTTTGTCAGGTCATAAACCATGTCGTTCAACACCGTTCTACAGCAATATCCCAATTCATGAAATTATGGCACTTAGCACCTTTGTTACTTCCACTCTTCAATTCCACTTATACAGTGTCTTTGAAAAGTCTGGCAACGGTCCTATATCTCAGGAACGACACAGGAAGAATTCAACAGAGATACAGTATGGATTCTATTGATGTCTAATTCATGCTTACATTGGAAATTCTGCCAAATCAACAGTTCTTCAGACATTCAGGGTAACTCAAAATTTCCAAATGGAGCACGCTTTTTATTCTCATTGCAATCAGTTGAGCCTTCACTTATGCCTGAATTGATATAGTTTTTGAAATATGACAACATGGCATTTCCTTTGAAATACCTGAGAGCGGTCCAATATTTTCAAAGAAGCTCAGAAAATTGCATGATACTTCATACAATTGTGTTATTTGAATTATTTCTGGATCAACAGTTTTCCAGATATTGCAATCAATTCAACGCACCTCCCATACTAATGTCATCGAATATCAAATTTCGAAGTGTTGTGGTTTTTGAAAAATGACAACATCTGGGAAACTGTCGATTCAACAAGATGGCCAATATCATCATAAAAATCGATTCTGTTCAAAATTGTATGAATTTTCTTTGAGCCATCTTGGAAATATTGAACAGTTCGCAGACTTTTCATTGAAAATGCCACAATATTGTCATATTCCAATGACCACATTGATTCCAATTCTGAACTTTGAAGTCATAAGTAATGAGGAGGCACTGATTGATTGCAATGATAATGAATAGCGTGTTTCGATTGGAAAAATTGAGTTACCTTCATTGTCTAGAAAATTGTTGATTTGGCATCATTGCCAATATCACCATTGAATCGAGAATCATCAAAAACTTGCATGTATGGAAAATTTATGAATTTTCTCCGAACCGTTTCTGGAATATAAGACCGTTCCCAGACTTTTGGAAGACACTGTATATATGTATATTCTACGGAAAAATTGAGGAGTTTATCCCTATTCAAAAAGTATATCTTCATCTCTTAGAAATTAAGGAATGCTATAAAGGTAGGTATGATATTGATGAAAAGACTGTGCACATTTATGGAATTTCAAAATCTATTTTGTTTGGTCTATCGCCATCTGAGAATTCATAACAAAACGTGAGAAGAAATGATGAGCTGTAGAAAAATAGTATATCGAAGAGAACATATCTTGAACGCAGTATAGTAAGAAACACTCCAGTATCAGAAATTCTGCTGTTTGGATTGCAAGAGTCGAATCTCAGTGATTTTCGCATGATGTATTGATACATATACATGTCTCTCTCATCACTGCGATGACACTCGACACACAACGATATGAAAATCGAAGAAAACAAACAATTGCACAAGCTCTGAGTGATGCTGTAGGACGTCTGACATTGGCTGATGATTGGCTTCTGAAAGGCTCGAAACATGTTTCACCCCCAATTGTAACATTTTGTCATTGTAAATCGTGAAGATGACTTGAAGATGTTTCTTTTTTCAATAAGTACCATTGCACTTCGAGCAATAGTCTTCTACTCACAGTTATATAAAAATCAGCGTCTGGGGGAAGATTGCAATAAGTTACAGTTATAATAATGACGTGAACATTTCCATAAAAATAGGTCAATAATAATTAATCATTACAGAATATAATATAGTGTTGGGAGTTCATCAAAATATTTTTTCCATATATCTTCTTTGAAGTGTGTTGGTGGAACTAGATGACCAAATAACCATATCTTGTGACAGAAATGAATACGGCTTGGTCAGTTCAGTCGCGTCGCGGCCCTGATGGAGGAAACAAAATATCATCTGATTTTCCATGAGATTATATCACGCCACAGCTGAAATTGGTATAACTTCATTTGAGTTCTTCAATCAAAAAGTCATTGTTTTTATTTCTCAAAATGTTTTCATATACCTCTTTGTTTCTCTAGAAAAAAATATCGACTGGAAGCTCAATCTGATTGGTTTTTTGTTGAAGTGCACTGAGAGAAAACTTGAGTTATCATAATTGGAAATCTGATAACCGTTATTACGATATCTGCAATGAATAGGGGACAGATGTGTTCATTTGCTACCATAGATAAAGTGAATTTTCAGGTAACTTGTAGTTATGGCAGCTTATTCAATTTGCAGACTTATAAAAACACCGCTGCTGAATAACTACTACTTGTTCTAGTTCCTATGATAACACAGAATGTCGAATAGGAATTATTCCCATAAAATGTTGCAGTAACTCTCCACTCTACAGTGGTTATTAGACTATCGACATAAAACAGCATGTTTCTGTTACTGGCACAACCATCTTGAGGTAACGCAGTAATTCGTCTCATTTCATTATAGTTTTCTGATATGTGAATGGAACCTGACATTTTGACTTGCTATTGTAATATAGCTCATTTTCAACAGTTATCCCAATATTTTTCTACTCCAGTAAATTCATCAAATAGTGGTAATGAGGTTATCTAATCAACATTATTCGATGGTATGCATTATGAAACCGTGCTTTGAATAACTGCAATGAAAATAAATATCCTATCCACACTATCACTTTTCATGATCCAAAGTTATTGTTTTCAAAAAAATAAAAAAATACGTTTAGTCTCTGAATTGAAATATTTGGGTATCTGTGGAAGTTTTTTGACATTACTCATTGATTTTTTCGGAGAAATATCATCATGCATTACTGACGAATTTATTAAGGAATGAGAAGTTAAATACTCATATTTACCCTTCCTTCGGAGTTATGATGAGAATTGTCAATGAAACTTCCCTCACAGAAATCCAGATATTTTGATTCAGAATATCATCGATCGTTTTGTTTTTTAAATAAACCAATTTTAGGCCGTGAAAAGTGGGTATGGAGATGGAGAATAATTTTTTCATTGCAATAATGCAATGCACGGTGTATTCCACAGATCGGTTCACAGCCAGCACTAAAACAAAACTCTGCTACATCACAAACATTCACCTACAAGACACGGCTCTATCGATTCGGACGATCGAAACCATTGAACAATAAACTGTGACACGGGCACCCATGACCGAGAACAGCAGTGAAATGAACGCGATCTGTATCTTTGTCAGCCCCATCCCCAATACTAATGAAACACTACACTGAGAGAAAACTTGAGTTATCATAATTGGAAATCTGATAACCGTTATTACGATATCTGC